GTGGTGGTTGGCCAGAGATTGGAGGAGAAGCTTGCAGTGGAGAGGAAGAAAAAAGACAGAAAAAACAGAGGAAAATTGTGGAGAAATCGAAGGATGGGGGGACGGGCGAACCGAAGGGAAGAAGGCTGCATGCAGCCTTATCCAAACCGATACCGGTCCGAAAAAAACTGTCAGTGGGACCCAGCGTCCAATCGATTCAGAGATATTCTCTAATGGATATATACAGACCGAAGCCGGTCCGTATATATTTAGTTAAATAATATTTTATTCATATTTTTTTGGTATTTAATATTTATTTTTTTCAGAAATAATATTCGGACTGAAACCGGTCCGAATATTATTGGCGCGTCTATACTGTGGACTCCTGCCAGAAATATTTTTTGGTATTTAATATTTATTTTTTTCAGAAATAATATTCGGACCCGGTCCGAATATTATTGGCGCGTCTATATGTTGACTCCCGCCAAAAATATTTTTTGGTATTTAATATTTATTTTTTTCAGAAATAATATTCGGACCGAAACCGGTCCAAATATTATTGGCGCGTCTATACTGTTGACTCCCGCCAGAAATAATTTTTGGTATTTAATATTTATTTTTTTTAGAAATAATATTCGGACCGAAAACGGTTTGAATATTATTGGTGCGTCTATACTGTGACGCCTGCCAGAAATATACGGACCGATACCGGTCCGAATATGTTCATTAGTATATTCAGACCGATATTGGTTCGAATATTTAGTTTTTCGGACCAACACTATTCGGTCCGTATATGTCATTTTTCTAGTAGTGTTTATTTAAAAGAACCTGAAAATGGATCTATTGCTAATGCCAATTAGAATATCAGTTTTTTTGTTTACCAATGTGCAGCACTCATTGAATAATGAAACACAATGTCAGTAATCCTGAATTAAGAACTCAAGGAGCTATCAGACAAGTTTAATGAAAACATATATAGAGAGTATTGCCAACCCTACAATTACTTCCAATATTCTAGCCATAGAGAATATCGTCCCAAGCTTTGTTTTTTAGGGGGAACTATTTCCTAGGCTTTGTGAAGGGTCCCTTTTGGATGTAAATTTTATGCAAGTCACAGTGATATCTATTGATGTGCTTGATCTAGAACAGAACAAAGTACCACCGTTATGGCTTCTCCCACTAGAAGATATTTGGTTGGTCATTACAAAGTATTCCAGAATAACTCCAACTCATAGACCATGTAAAGCCACCCACAATTCCACTAACAGCACTAAACTAACCACTCCACTCCTACACCCACCCCAAACAAAACACACAAGCTCATGGCATAAAAACTAGTATTACAGACGATACTTCAACAATAGAAAGTTGAAAATAATAGGTTTCAGTACCATTTTGGTCCCTCAACTTTTTACTTTGACACCAAAATTGAACCTCAGCTTTAAAAAGTACCAAAATTATCCTTAAACTTTCATTTTCGATACCAAAATCGTCATTCCGTCAATTAAATGACAAGTGGCACGTTATCTTGCCACAAAATCACATTTTAAAAAAAAAAATAATTACGTGGAAAATAAACTTAATGAGATGGCATTTTTCTTTTTCCATGTGGCATTTTTTTCTTATTTAAACAAAAACCCACATAATTTAATATTAGATTATTCATCTTCTTCTTCCTCCCTTCGTCTCTCTCATCCATTCGCCCCTTCTTCTTTCCCAGGCTTCTTCCTCGGCACCGATGAATGGTTCACTCAGCAAGCGGAGAGCATGAGTGATGCGATCTTGGTGTGCCTTTTGCGGCCATCCGAAATCCAGGTCTTCTCTCAAACCCAGATCTGGGTTTTTCTTAAACTCAAATCTAGGTTTCACACATAAATTACCTACATCACATCGGCACCACCCACGGTCACCGGTGTTGTCCAACATCCTTCTATCTGATAATCTCGACCCTTCTCTCCTCCTGATCTGCTCCAACCCAAATCTTTGTTCTTACCAAAATTAATGACTCAAACGGTACCCGAACTCCATAGCCGATTTCCATGGCTCCGCGCCTCATCTTCTCCAAACCATTGTTAAAACCTAACCCTAACTTCCCAAAACACCTTCCTTTTTCCACCTCCTTTCTCATCACTAAAATCCCCAAGAAGCACAGACCCAAACTTTCTCAAACCCGATTCCCTCTGCATTTGCCCTGTCCAGCAAGACTCCACTCGGATCCCCTCCTTCGATTCTCTCCTCCACCACGACGCTGCCTTCCAATTCATCACCAAGGTCAAAGAATTCCTACGCCATTCATTGTTTGTAATTCTGTTTCCTAAGAATCTGTGAATACCCAAAGAACCAATCTTTCATGGCAACCAAACACACACCAAAAAAGAAAAAGAAAGCAAAAAAACTTCGCCTGTATGGAAACAACCCAGATCTGGGTTCCTGCAATTAATGTCGAAGGGCTCAAATCTTTGTAATTCTTGGCTTAATCGATTATGTCCATCATCGATCCATGGCTCTCATGGAGAATGGTTTTCTTAGAACTGAAAATTGGGTTCTTTCTTAGAGAGAGAACCTAGATCTGAGTTCTCAAGGGAGAACCCACCTAGATCTGGAAGGGGAAAGAGGAAGATGAAGAAAGGGGAGAGAGAAACAACAAGAAAAAGGTCGAAGGAGGAAGGAAAAAGAGGAAGAAGGGATGGAAGAGGAGGAAGAAGGCTGGGAAAGAGGAAGAGCCGGAGGAATGAGAGAGAAGAATGAAGGAAGAAGATGAACAATATATTATATTATATTATATTATGTAAGGTTTTTTTTAAATAGAAAAAATATACCACATGGAAAAAGAAAAATTGCCATTTCATCACTTTTCGTATGATTTGTTTTCCATGTAATTATTACTTTTTTTAAAATGTGATTTTGTAGCATTTTAACGTTGCCACCTGTCACTTAACTGACGGAATGATCATTTTGGTATCAAAAATGAAAGTTCAAGGGTATTTTTAGTACTTTTTAAAGCTGAGGGACAATTTTGGTACTAAAATAAAAAGTTGAGGGACCAAAATGGTACTTAAACCAAAATAATATAAAGTAGCAAAAAAGATGTCAACACCAGAGCACATCACAGTTCATCAAGAAAGTTAACAAAAATAACCATGTAAAACTATAAGAGCTCCTTCATTCATCTAAAATACACATAACTAGCAACTACTCTTTCATTACCCAATACTCCCATAAAAATCTAATTTTTCTTTCAAGAATAAACTCACTTTCAACTTCATAAAAAAGGAAAAAAAAAGAAGAAAAACTCAATCCAACAAAATCAATGACCACGGGAAAGGGAGAAATTGGGTTCAAATGAATGAACAACATTGCATATGTATAGCAAGTGAAGGAAAAAAATTACAATCAAGGTTAAAGAAACTAAAAAAATTATTCTAAAAGATATTCAAATTATTGATTATGAATACCAACCAAGCATAAAATTGACAAAAATAATAACATATTAATCTAGATTAACATCTAATAGTCCTTGAAATTAGATATAGATATATTAAAAACTAAAACCACATGAAAAAGATTTAAGTTGTACCTCTCAATAGGATACATCCACCTAAAATTAACTAGCTCACCAAGTTTCGCCTCATTTGCCAAGTGAGTAGCCAAATGAACCATAATGGTGAAAAATGGAGGGAATATCTTTTCCATCTCATAGAGAGTAATTGCAATTCTATACTCAAGCAAGTCAAGATCCCTCTCACATAGTACCTTAGAGCAAATGTTCTTGAAATAGTTACAAAAATCAATGATAGTTGAGCATACCTCGTCTGGCAAAGACTTACATAATGCAATAGGGAGAAGTTCAAGCATCAATACATGGTAGTCATGACTTTTGAGTCCAATTAATTTGTGTGGTTTAAGTTGGACACAATGTGATACATTTGATGATAGTTCATCTGGGGCTCGAAGATCCTTGAGAACTTTAAAGAAGGCATCTTTTTCTTTGGAGGTCATTTGATAGCAAGCTTTTGGCAAATATTTAGTATTAGTACGTAAGCGCACCTTGGGATGGAGATCACTCTGTATACCCATGTCTTCTAAATCACATTGTGCTTTGTAATTATCTTTAGACTTCCCCTGCTGGCCAGTGATGGTGCCACACGTGTTATCAAATATGTTTTTCACTGTATGCATCACATCAATATTATGACGCAATAAAAGATGTTCCCAATAAGGCAGTTGAAAGAAGATGCTCTTTCTTTTCCAAGGTTGCATGCTGCCATTGTTGTATTCATCTTCTATGCATTCTAATTGCCTTAACGCCTCAGACCCCGTTAGCCTCATAGGTGCTGGACGTGTTTCGCAAGTTCCATCAAATGATTGCGCATCTTGATGATAAATGTGATCAGCTTCTAACCATCGTCGATGACCCATATAACAATACTTTCTACTGTGTACCAACCATAAAGATTCTATATCATACTTTCTACAGCATACCCTAATTTTGATTTAATTCTAGGTCTTTTCAATGGTTACCAAAGGTGCTGGACATGCACTGTTGTAATAAGAGTTTAAGTACCCCTTATTATCATTTTAATAAATTGGCTGTTCAAAAAAAAAAAAAAAACCAACCAAGCCTACTTGACTATGTAATTGAAAACCCAATAGTATTTCAAAAGAAGTTCAAAGGAAGCATCTTAACACCATTGTCTATAGCTTTGTCAAGGATCCCTTTTGGATGTAAATTTTATGCAGGTCACAGTGATATCTATTGATGTGCTTGATTTAAAACAGGACAAAGTACCACTGTTGCGGCTTCTCCCATAAAGAGATAAAACAATTAGAACCGGAAGGGTCTCAGACTCTATTATCCTATTGTTGGACCAGCTTTTATAAGGAAAGTGTCCACTAGCAGGATGAGAGCAACCATCTTGCATCCCACTTTAAGCTGACCTCGGCTTCCACTTTAACCAATCTTATTTGCATGTACTGTTTTGACAGTTTTGGTTGGGTGAACATGAGGTATGAAAGGAACGAAAAACAGGAAAACAGAGTACTCTGTAGTTGCTTCTCCTATCTTGCTTTAGACATTTTACCACCTTAATCAAATCATGCAAGTAATTTTCCTTTTAAAACATACTAGGTAGATTAGACATTTTCTTTCATGTGTTTTCAACTACGGCAGCATTACTATATCAGTGTGGGGCATTATGATGTGGACTACAGACTATTAATGTTGTAATGTTATAATATTTTTATGATGTGAACTACACACTTCTATTTTAGTACTGTAATTAAACATAATCACAATTTTTAATACAAAAATATCTTTATTTTTCTTTAAGATAGTCTATAAATTTAAGGCGCCCTCCGCTCTTATGCCTCATCATTCTTCTTCCCCTTTCTGCCAATTAACCATTGTAGCCTCCTGAAGGATTCCATTTTCTCTAGAGAAATTCAGAGCCATCCATTTTCCAGCTTCCTGTTTGGCATGTATTATCTTTTTCTTCATCAAACTTTTCGTTCCTTTTGTTTATTTTTGAATTTGTTTGGTTTTTCTTGTTGAAAGTTAATGATTTTTGTGTTGTTTGATCGAGGCGACCTGAGTCTTTCGTGTTTTAATTAAAGCTTGAGCCTTTAGAGTTGGGATTGGGTGTAGAAGGCAAATTAGAAAATATTCCAAGTTTTCACCGACCCTCTTTGTGCTGAATAAATCCTGATGTTTAGAGTCAATCCTCTAGATTCTTCTATTTAGCCTATTAAAATTTATCAGTTTCATTGTCCCTAGATGATGCACCCTTAGTTAATAACCACATATCTATTAACCACACCAGGCAGGATTTGACATTTCAAAACTCTAGTATAAGACCACAAACAAGCTTGTTTTGATCAACCAAGAAAGCAGAGTCTCATTGCATTGAGGGGTCGGTTTATATAGTGAGGAAGGCTTGTCAAAATAATATTCAGACAATTAAAATTTAAAGAATTATACTAGAGAGGTTGAGTATAGAATCATACTTTACCTGGTGACTGTATACATTCACCCATGTTTTGATGTGTAGTAATAAGATGTTCATGATGTGTCAGACCCATAGTTGGCTACTGGACTTGAGTGTGATTGGGGGGTTGCGATGGTGTGACTTTCTTGACAATTCTAATTGAACTTTTCAATCTCCTATGCCTTCCCATTAATGACGAAATTGATCTGCCCTACAAAAAATTAAAACTACAGAGTCAAATTAAAGTCTGACCAATAATCCACCAAGCAGAACTCTAAGGTGAATAAACTGTGACCAATATCCATGCCCCTCACAAGCATTTCATCAAACACTTTGAGTGCAAAAATAATAAGACTTATAATCATTCAATCCTCAAAACCCCACAACCCACAAATTCCACAACAACAATAATCCAAACCCACACAAGATCAACATAATTGGCACAAAAATCAAACCCATATAGAGAGCAATCTTGATTATCATGGCAATTAATGTAAATGGAAACAAGATTCTCACCTAAACGGATAAAGCTTATAGCACACTGTTGAGGAGAATGCGTCAGGTGGGAAGAAAATAGTAGAAATTTGATTCTTAGTTTCACGCTTTCGGATTAAGCTGATAAGAGTTGGACATGGAAACTGTCTTCTTCTTTTTTTTAATGTTTATAGAAACCGAATGCCATTGAATGAGCGGGAAAAAAAAAGGGACTAAAATAGGTAATATGGGTTTAAGTGTACAGAAATTATTATTTAGGGGATTTGTTAAAAAAAAAAACCTAGAAATAACCTCTATATATATATTATGTGTGAGATCCTCTTCCCTACTCCTCTCACACGGCAGCAGTTGGCCAAATCAAGAAACCCATTACAAGAGGTATGAAATTCAATCTCGTTTTTGATGTATTTTTTTATTAAAGCAATTTCACGAAGCTTCTCCATGTTTCATATATCAAATAAATATATATTTAATTGTATACAATTATATTTTTAAACTCTAAATTTGTTTGAGTTTAAAAGAGTTTTAGTTTTATTTTTTGTAATTTTTTTCCAACATGAAAGGTGAAAAAGTTTACGTCAGAAAAGGTAGATTTATTAATCAAGTGCAGTTAGATAGTTATTCCAATGGAACTCAAGATGTTGTTAGCAGTGATGATGAATCAACACATATAACAGCTGATGAATCAACACAATCACCAGATGATTGGCAAGAGTTAGTGTCTGATACGAGTAACATTAACATATTAAAATTTAATTATATAAATTTTGATTTAAATTAAAAATCAGTTCCAATTAGAGCTTAAAGATGTTGAGTCAAATTCAAATTTTATTTTTGTAGATTTTTTTGATTTTTTAAATGTCCAGATTCAAAAGTTAAAAAGAGGAATGTATGGGGGTCGTACAAATCCATTTCAATATTTATAAAAACTCAAGGTGGAAAAAAAAAAATAGAAGTTGAAATACCTGAAGGTAAAGAGCACCCAGTTGGAGAGCATGCTCGTGACTTGGCAAACATGTGTGGGCTTGTAGTGAGAGACACAGCGCCATTGAATGTTAATAATTGGGAGGAAGCATTCACATTAGCAGGTGATCGAATGTTAAGTCAAATTCAGGTACTGATACAATAGTTATATTAAATTTACATATATAACCTCTTTTAATTATGATTGCATGATTTAATTCATGAGTTATTAATTTTGTTTTTCAGGAAAAATTTGAATTTCTTAAGAATTCAAAGAAATTAGTTGATTTTTATGTTAAAACTATGGGGAATCAGTATAGGGGATGGAGGAATAAGCTGTATAATCTATATAAGAAATACAACAATGATGTAGAAAGATTAGATAATTGTCCAGAAGGAATATCTGAAGAACAATGGACTTACTGTGTTGCATACTTTGGCTCGGAAGAATTTCAGGTAATAACAATATTTACTAAATATTATTAAATTAAAAACACAAAATGTTGACAATAATATTCTGATGTATTTTGTTTTATATAGAAAAAAAGCAAGTGAAATTCCAACAATGTCAAAAAGAGGAAAAGAATTCATACCACCGGCAATGTATCGTTTGAAGAATTTGAAACTAGATTGGTAAGCTCTTTATTGATTTTTTTTTTTTGAAAAGCAAAAATAATATTTATTGATACGGAGTACAAGGGGTACCCCAAACCCGTAAACATCTCAATTTGAAAGGCCAAGAGTTATATAGTCAAATAGCCCTTCCGTTCGGTGTCGACACCATGTCCGTGTCGGAGATTTGAGGCTCAATTCTTCCGTTTGGTGTCGACACCCTAATAAAGTGTCGACACCACGACCGTGTCGGGTTTCACAGTGCTCAGCCCTTCCAGAATACCATAACCTCCCTTGTTGATATTTTTGGCTCTGGGTTTCTTTAGTTGCATTTCTGGTACCTTCCAACTGTTTGTAGCATGCTTGTATTCTTCAGCCTCCTCACACCCAGCTCTTTGTTGAATTAAGTAATCTATAGGTTGATAATTAACAAATGAGTTGTTACTTTATTTTTTATTTTTTTTACTAATATTCTATTATTTTTATTTATGTATTATTAGAATGATCTTATAAAGAAGATAAAGTTATTTCCTGCAAAAGTTTGGTTGCGTCAGCATTCTCGAGAGGTAGAAAAAAGAAATTTTGTCTGGACAAATCCACAATCAAAATTAATTGGAGTAAGTTTTGAATAGATTTTATATATAATTATTTTTATGATATTTGGATTTAAATTTTTTAGGTTATATATTTTCTAATGTATTTAGATTTTTTTAAGTATAAGAAACAAAAATAGAAAAAAATTGTAGAGGTTGATCGGTCCCTATATATATTCTAATATGGTGTCATCGTTTTTTCTTTTTTTTTTTTTTTGCCCTTTTAGGGGAAGATGATATAGTCACAGATGATTTCAGCTATCTAAATCTTATTAAGTAGTTAGGGTACGCGTTGCGATTGGTAGATGAAAATAAGATAATTTCACCTATCTAAATTCTATTAAGCAGATAGGGTACACCTTGCATTTGGTGGACAAAAAAAACATCTACTCACAATTTTTTATTTTTTATTTTTTTGGAAGAAAAATGAATAACTAACATATTATATATGTATTGTAGGAACGCATACAACGTTTGTTAGATGAAAATGCAAAAAAAGGAATTGAAATGTCAAATAAAGATATATATGATCATGTTTTGCAACAGAGCTCTAACCATGCAGTTGGTAATGGTAGCAAACATCCACTTTTATCTGAGCTTGTGAATCAACAAATGAGGATCAGAGAATTAGAACAGAAATTGCAATCTCTCGAGAAAGAAAGGAGTGAAATTTTGGTAGAAAGAGAAAAATATGGAGAAGAAGTACTAAATAATACTCGATTACAGTATGAGAAAGAGAATGACAATAGTTGGAAAGATAATTTTACAAATTTGGAATAAATATTAAGTGTAAATACTTTTTATTGGAGGATTTATTTTGTTTAGATTTATGTCTTGTCGAATATTATTTTTAATTTAATAAAGTGTTTTAGTTTTATAATCTTATTTTTTTATTAATGTAAATTTAATTAATTATGCTGTAGAAGTTATTTAATTAATATTAAATTTTAAAAATAGTTTAATTCTATATATTGATTGATGCTAAATTATTATATTCAATGACTTTTCACAACTAAGATATTATATCATAAAATATTTGTTGAGAAATTTACGCTTTTACAATAATTTTTGGTTTTAAAATTATTTTTTAAAGTGATTATATTTGTTTTAAAATAGAATTTAAGATAGCAAACACTTTAGTTACGATATATAATTTTTGAAACTAATTTTGTAGTTAGAAAATATATTTTTTAAAACGGTCATTGATATTTCTATATATTTTTAATGTAACTATTAATATTGTTATTAAATCATATTTTACAAAACAGTGGATAACGTTGTTTAAATTATTATATAATAACCAAATATTTTTGTTGTTAAATCTTATTTTCTAAGCTAATTTATAAAGTTAGGAAAAATCCTTTTTACCAACATTTTAAATGGTTGCTGTAACAATTTTTTTACAACAATTATAATAGTTGCATAATAAATCTTTTACCAACAATCCAACATGGTAGAGAAAATATATTTTTTGCAACATTCATTAGTATTACTAAATCATATTTTACAAAACAATGAATGATGTTATTTAAATTATTATATGGCAGCCACATATAATTGTTGCTAAATCTCATTTTCTAAGCTAATTTACAAAGTTAGGAAAAACTTTTTTACCTGCATTTTAAATGGTTACTGTAACAATTTTTTTACAACAATTATAATAGTTGCATAATAAATCTTTTACCAACAACTCAACATGGTAGAGAGATTTTTATATCCCATGTAATAGGCTTGTCCCCAATACTATTTAACCAAAATAATTTATGATGTAGAGAAATTTCTTATTGGTAATAATTGTAATCGTTGTGAAAATACACTTTTAATAATGACTAATTTAGTTGTATAATTTCTTTTTTATAACAACATTTTTTGGGTATTGAACTTACTTTGCATAACAACTTATTTTTGTTGTAAAATTATACTTTAGGTAATGACTTATGATGTTGCTATAAAATAAGTTTAGTAATGATAAATATAGTTATTAAAAGTTAATATGACAACCATTATTATGTTGTTGCTATTGTTTTTTACTTACAGATATATATCGTAGGTATTTTGTTTTACTTATAATTTTTTAAATATAGATATAGGTTCATTGATCTTTTACCTACGGCATATAATACTGAAGGAATATGTACATTTGCGTAGTTAATTATCTATAGTTACAGGACATATAATTACACTTTTTTCTCCGTATGTATAGGCCTTGAACGGGATATACCTAGAGATTTTGACCATATACATACAAATTTTGTCCGTAGCTCAATGGCAAAAATGCTGTAGTGCTAGTTTAGTAACCAAAAAAATTCATATCTTCAAATAGAAAAAATTTCAAGTTTCGTACCTTTATTTTCACCTTTTCTCTCTTAGTTTGACTTTTTAAACTTTTGAACATCAATTTTAGATGATAACATTACATGCAAATGACAATCGAACATTTTTTTAATCAAAGGAAACCATTCAATAATAATTATATAGATGAACGTGTAAATTTTCAATTATCATTCATATGCTTCATTAAATTTATGTTTGAAGTCAAAATCTAAAGGTAAAAGGATTTATTTAACCTATGCTCTAAAGGCATAAGTTTTTTTTTTTTTTTTTACTAACATTTTTCAAATACTCTGATTTAAGTAGGAAAAAGGAGAGAATGAGAGGCAGAAGCAGAGAGAGGTTCAGGGGATCAGGCAAAGGACACCGGTCACGGACTAGACGGACGGCACTGGGCAGAGCGCATGAGCGACCCATAGAGTATAGTAGACTGCGAAGGGGTTTGGACATCAGCCAAAGAAGGGATAACAGGAATCAGAGGAAGTTTGTTGAGTGGGGGTGTGATGAGGGGGTGTACAAGCAAGCCACGGCTTTCTTCTTCACCAATTTAGTCACGCCCCAAAACTTGAATTCGGGGCGCGACAGATGCCGTACACTTGTGAGAGAGTCTCACAAATGCACAAGGCTCGGAACTTATCATATCACAATCTGATACCATAAAATCTCAAGATAAAATTTTAAAATCTACTCTGATATCATAAAATCTCCAAATACACTCTAGCTTACAAGAGCATGATTTATTTCTAAATCTATATCAATCTCGAAATGGCTAGTCTTCTAACTCGTCACTTCCCGTGGTTTCCCCGTCCTCGGTTTCGTTTCCTGAAATGGTGAACAAGGAAAAACTATGAGATAACTTAGTAAGTAAAATATGGAGTGCCCCTTATTAAACTTATAGCATGCCAACAAGTGTAATCACAAAAAAAACAGATACAGTACGGGAACGAAATAGACGTCTCTTCTATAGGTCATGGCCAGTGTTATAAACCTCCCATTGGCAGGCACACGATTTACTAGTGTATAATCCACTAGCAGGATAACAGAAACAAACCGGTTCTATTAGTAACATGTCAACATGTGCTAGCGTTTATAAACCTCCCACTAGCGAGCCACTAATAACATGACCACATCGGAGACAAAACAGGTTGCAGTTAACAGAAAAATTATAATTCACCAATCACTTTCAAATCATCTGGACAATCAATTAGATTTCAAGTAAGCATGCTCAATTTAATGAAAAGCATAAAAACTTCATTTCCATCGATCATACTTGTGTAAAACGGGTTTAGTCCCGCCACCACTTCAAAAACAAATCAAAACATGCTTTTAAAAAACTGTACGGGCATTACCATAAATTTACTTACCTCACTCGCATAAAACCGAAGACTCGATCTCAATGCTAAACTGACAGAACGATCAGGAACCTAATCAAAATATCCAAGAATTAATTATCGTACCATGGATTCAAAACTAAAATCACCATGACTACCCCTAATCACGATGCTATTTCTATCAATCTTCACATGATCGGACATCTCCAAATTTATTCTTATATTACAAACTAATCATTTAAATCCCGTTAATTGTTGGCCCTCGGTGTGTGAACAGTAATCTGTGAACTGTAACTGCACTTCCAAAATTGGCCAAAACACTAGCTAATTCACGGGATTTTCTCTCCAAAAATCATAGCAATCAATTAACACTCAATCACATAAATCTCACTTGAATTAAGCTAAATCATGGTCTAATTACTATCAAATTTCTCTCCTAATTAATCTAGAATTTCGGACACACAGGGCAGCAATTAGATGGCTAATTTCAGCAGTTAAATGGGTAAATCTGGACTTAGAGAAGCTGCCACATACCAGAATTTGCAAGCAAAGAAACTGGACTGCAATTTGGGGAAGGCCGGCGGCATGGAAGAAGGAAGCTCACGGGCTACCCAAAAATTGAAGGAAATAAGAGCAATTAAGGTAAACCCAAGCCAATTCAAGCAAGAACAAAGGAATTAATGGCTGTTGCTTACCGAAAATTCAAAGGAATTTGCACCCACAATCGGCAAGAGCAGCAACTGGATAGAGCAGAGCAGAGCAGATTCGGATTCTGCAGAGGGGTGGGGGAAATTTCTGGGTTCTAAATGTGTTCTAGAACAAGAAAAGAAGGAGAAATCCAAGCTTTCTCACCGGTTTTCCAAGGCATGGCTAGGTTCTCTTTTTTTTTTTCTCTCGGGTTGTAGCGGGAAGACAAGAAGAGCAGATGCGTGGGCTGAAGAAGAAAGAAAGAAGGAAAAAGAAAAAGAAAAGAAGCCATCCTTATTCAAATTCTTTTCCCTTTTAAGTCCCTCAACTTTTGAACATTTTGCTATTAAGCCCCAACATAATATTTTTCCACAATTTAGTCCTTAACTCACTTATTTATTCTAGAAATTTTTGGGGTATTACAAATTTCCCCGATGACTGGAACTATGCAGAGATGTGGAAGACTTTCGGAAAATATGGCAGAGTATATGCAGTTTATAGTCCACTCAGAAAATCTAGGAATGGTAGAAGGTTTGGGTTTGTAAGATTCCTAGAGGTGAAGAAGGCAAAGGTCCTCGAAAGTCAGCTAGATCAGATAAGGATTGATGGAAGCAAAATCTAGGTGAATCTAGCTAAATACCCAGTGGAAGCTCTAGAGGTGAAGGGGAGTAGGAACCTGACTCCACCAAAAAAAGTGGTTAAGGGGAAATCCTATGCTGAAGCAGTTAGAGGGTTGGATAAAGAGGACTCAAGGGTCGGTGATGAACACCCATTGACAACTGAACCAAGTAAAGTTCGCAGCGTACACAGCGGCAGTCTAAAACAAGTGAACAACCAGCAAGCATGGAGAAAGAAGAAGAAAAGGGAAGCATGGGTGGATATGGAGTACAATGTTATGTCGGAGTAGCCCACTCTGTTGAAATAGTTCTAATCCTCCAGGAAAGATTCTACATGGAAGGTTATTTCACATGCCGTCTAAGGGCTATAGGAGGCAAAATGGTATTATTGGACTGTGAGGATAAGGAGGAGCTAAAAGAATTAATTCAGGGTGCAGCTAGCTGGTTAAGCCAATGGTTCGCAGATGTCAAGCCATGGTCTCCATCATTGGTAGCAAAGGAAAGGTTTGTTTGGCTAAGGTGCCTGGGAGCACCATTACATGGTTGGGGGCCAGAGTTTTTTGAGTCTATGGTGACGGCATGGGGGAAATTTATCAGCCTGGATGACAACACAAGCAAGAAAAGAAGGTTTGACGTTGCTCGAATCCTAATCTCCACGCCGATTATGGAGTCAATCTCAATTAAAAGGCATATCAAAGTTAATGGAGTCCTCTACAATCTCATGTTTACGGAAGAGAAAGCGTCTAACAGCCTTCTCTCTATGAAATTTGATTTTCTGCCAAGCATCAAGAGTGACTCTGAATATGAAGAATCCTGGTCAGAAGGCTTGGATATAGAGGAAGAACCAGGAGAGAATGGTCGTAAAGATAACAGGGATTCAAGCGCCGGGGACGGGAACACTGTAGGGGATTTTTCGGACCAGATCGGGAAAGACAAACGAGTGCCTGCCATTCCAGATTTCGAGGCACATTTTGAATTTGAAGGAGATTTGCATGATGAAGTATGTCAGAAAAAGAAGGATATGATCTATTACAGCTGGATAGGTGAAGAGGAGTTAGTTGAAGTGGTTGCAGATAGTCTCAAGGAATGCTTAGCAGGTAGTGACGTGGGAAGCAGAGATGAAGAAGAAACACCGACTGTTGAGTCGCAGAATTGGGTCAGCTTAGACCCAATTGAAGCCTCAAAAGATGCTACAAGGTCCTGATGGGCTAAGCCCAACTACCATCATCCAGCCCACTCTCAACAAAATTTTGGAGGCCTGAATGAGGAAACCCGGGTTTGTGAGGCCACTGGCAGTAGTAAGCAAGACCAGCTGGAGGCACAACAGGGGATTAGCTTTCACGGACAGAATTTATTAGTCAAAAAAGGTAAAAAGAGAGAGGGGTTGTCACGGGATGGGAGCACATCTGCTTCGATAGATCTAGAAAGTGTAGAAGGAAATGGAGAGAAGCAGAGGGATCCGAGCGGCAAGGAAGGGATGGCCTCAAGAAGGAAACCGGACAGGATGAAGAAAAAGAAGAAGATGCTAATGTGCATATCAGTGTATAATAGAGCCAGCATATTGGGTTTTATGAGCCATAAGAAGAAAATTAAGAGCGAAGCAAGATCAAAAATGCTTCGAGACAAGAGAT